CTGCACGACGTGGGAAGGGCCATGTGTGGACGTGCCCTTCCTGAGGTCCCTGGGAATGAGATGGAACAAAGCTCTATGCTACAGGACCACATTTAACCCAGAGGCTTGGAGGAGATGGCAGGAAGTTTGCCGACTGCTACTCTGAAGGAAAGTCAACAAGCAGGGCCACAAAGCTTTGCTTCCAGCTGATATATGTAGGAATTAAAGGACATTTTCTAGTCAGGTCAGCAGTTAGAATATGCAAGTGGAAGGAGAGACTAGAAACATATCTTCATTTTTATGAAGGAATGTACCAATGTCTTGCTCTACTACAGTCTCATATAAAGTTGTCATTAAGTAATTCCTCTTTAATGCATCATTCCCAGCAGTGGTTTTAATATGATAATCAAAAAACACACTTTTCTGATCCTTGCCAGAGTGCTTTGCTGTGTGCTGGGCTTTGGCAGTAAGTTATGCTCTGAAACTATTGGGCAAGTAGCAAGTGAGAAATGATGTCAATATGCCTAGCACTTAATATGCAATGCAAATATTCCTGTTGATTGTTCTCTCTCCATATGTAGCACATCTTCACAGTCAGAGCTCTTTTTTTATAAACAAAGTGAAGCAAGGAGACACTTGTTTTCATAAAAGATCATAACACTAAGAGTGCTTATGTAATAAATTGTTCTGTCAAACACAGATGGAAAACACAAAATGGAAACACAGAAAATGAAGCTCTGTTTTCAAGCACCTCTGGTTTCCTTCCATGCAAATACAGATCAGGTCACTGATCTTTGAGCAGAGCTCTGTTGGCCTATGAAATGCTGTAGTGAAAATGCTAAGTCACACCCTGAAGCAGTGATGGAGCACCTGGTGGGAAGGCAGGGCCAACCCAGGGGAGCTCAGGTGCATGCAATGCAGCTGAGTGACCAGAATGTGTGGAGCCAGGATCCACCCCTTCCCAGGCCTCATTTAAGGGCTGGCAGTAGATATGAGGGGGGTCCTTCTGGAGTTCCCTGCATACCTGAGGCCTTCTGAAGGTAAGCAGCTTCTTTCCTTTATTTGTGTGCCCATAGCTGTTCATTTGGGTGAATTCTCACTTGCTCCAGCCTAGGACCTTGCTGCTCTGCTTTCCATCATGTTACAAATTATGTGTTTTCCTCTCCTTCGCAATATGCGTGATTCAGGCTCCAAGCTGTGTGAGTGCCTGTTTTGTTTAAAATGCAGCTCTGGTTTTATGTAGATATATCCTAACTTGTGCATCTACTCGTGACAGAGAAGTCATTTTATTTACTCCCATGTGAATAAAACACACTTTCACAGCTCACAAAGCCCGTGGAAATTGTTTCTTCCTGCATGCACAACTGATAACATGCTGACCCTCTGGGGGGCACATCTCCCCTCTGTTTGCTTCTCAGTGACTGTTGCTTTTCTTCACTTGCCCATGTCAGTAGCGATGTACAGCCAGGACTTAGGCCAGCAGGAGTGACGCATTTATAGAAGGCAGCCAGCAACATCTCCTGCTTGCTAGCTCTGCCAGTGCCAATGGCACCGTTAAGGAAGGCTGCTGCGAGCAGCTCTATGGAAACACAACACAGCTCCAGGACTTTGACCCCTTCCCATACATTGCTGCCATTGCTACAATGGCCTTATTGTGTAATTTGGGAAAAAGTTACCTCAGTGCCACAGAAACATATTCCAGAGAAGTGTGGCAAGCTTCTAATTTGGGAACGCTCAACCTCACCCTGCTATGTTGGAAAAATACCTGTAAGTTAAAACTAATTTGGAGGCCGGAATAAGACAGTAGGGAAAGTATAATGGAGTATCAACTGTAACTGCTTAACAAAATAGGTTAAGGAGATTTCTAAGCAGAGCAGCGCTGCCAACACTGACAGGTATGCAATCTTGAACTTGTTAGCTTTTCACTGGATTCCTGTAAGACATGGTTAGCTAGAAAAGAAATTAAGGAAAAAGTAGGTTTGATCCTAGACGTGAAAAGGTAAAAAGTTTAGAGAAAGAAACTCTCTCCTATTTTTTTAAGGAGCTATTCTGAGGCAGAGAGAAGCAAAGATGAGAGTCCCAGGTATGGAACAGTTTTTTGTATTAGAATGTTTGTACCAGTCCCTTCTTTCTGCTTTTTCATTTCTATTTCAGACAGAATTATATTAATGAAATACTCCATGACTTCAGTGGCTTTCATACGTACTTGTAGTTTTGGATCTAGGTTGGCTCATAGATCAGTGTAGGAATTGGTGGACAATAATCCTGTTTACATTAACAGCCTGTAGGTTTTTTTGAACTGCCTCTAAAGAAAACAGCTATTAAAAGAATTTATTTTTAAATCGCTCCTCACACAATAGGAACAATAATAGCATCTCACTATTTCCATAACCAATAATCTGCCCCTCAAGTTGGGAGAAGTTGCAGAACTTTGGCTCTGTTCCTTTCTTAGGAGCTATGTTGCACAGCTCTGCTATTTCAAGCGCTGCACTGCAGCATCCCACTGTGAGCCTTTTGTTTCTTGAGTTGTACCATCACTCTTCCACAGATTCACCTTCATCCTGCCATGCCCCTTCATTCATCCAGCTGGAAATATCTGAGCAGCTTTTCTGATCTGTGAAGACGCATGGTTTTGTGTTCCAAGTTTGGAATTTATCCTACCTGCTTATTTCTATAAAATGTTTTTTTGTTGTTGGTTTTGTTTTTTTTTGTGTGTTTTTTTTTTTTTTTTTTTTAAAAGAAAGGTTACACCCAGCCTTTGTAGCAAGAACTGACTCGGGCTGTAAGAACAGCAACACCCCATAATGAATAGCGACTCTTTGAGTACAAGCCAAAATGTGTGTAGAATGCAAGTGTACCAAGCAACAAACCAAGGCCAAAATCCTAAACAGATGTCAGGATTACCTAAATGTGAGGGGTTCCACACCTTAATTGCCAACATTTCAGTGGAAAACGATGAGATGTTTGTCAAACTGGGGAAGCTCAATGCAGGTAGGGAAGCATGCACTAGAGGAAAAGACAAAGAGGGACAAGTGTCTGACTCTGTAGGCAGCTAATTGCCTCTGTGGTTACTAGAATCCTTCCAGTAACAGTTCTGAAGGACAAAGTATGCCTAATGCCTTTTCTGTATTGATCTGCAAAGCACTTAACTGAGCAAATGGGACAAGCTCAACCTTTCTAAGCTGAGAAGTTCTACTGTAATATTAAATCTATAGGTACATAAATTCAAGCAATTAAAAAGAGTCTATTGCTGCTTAGGGGACTTTCTCTGTCCCAGCAGGAAACAGGACAGCAAAGTTTTCAGAATGGTCAGTCATTCCTCACTATTCCAAGACCTTCTAAACCATGGTCATTGAAATGAGGACTGGCTCCATGGTGATATCCAGGGGTTTTTGATTCTTTGGGTATATTTAAGGAGATGCTAAGCCACGTTCTGGTAATGAAAATGTTTTGGAGTACTGATAGTAGTGTGTAGCTTTGGAGGTCTTTGAATTATTTTCTTATTTCTTTGTTTAAATGGATTAATTAATACTTGCCTGCAAACCCAGTTAATTGTAAGCTGATTCACAGCTGGATGATAACATAACAGTCTCTTTTAGTCCAATTCATTGTAGGTCACTGTTACAGTAAGAGGAACCTCCATAATCTTTAGCGAGGTGCATGCCAAGTTGCTGTTTGTATCTGTGATCTCTCCCATAAGAACATCAGATCCTGTATCTGGATGAAGATCTACCTTTAGTCAGGCAGCAGGCGTTCTGAGCAGTAGAACTAGAATTCTGAACTGCGATTCCCTGTTGGACGCAGTCCTGTATCTTCCTGCATGGTCTCCTCACACAACTGAACTCACTACCTTTCTCTATCAGTGGCACCAGTTTTCAGTGACTCCTTGTGATAAAGCATTTTTTTTCCCACACTTCATAGCTCCAAAACCTCCACCATATCACAAACAGCAACACACCTCACTCTGTTTCCTCCACTTTCACAAAAGCTTCCAGTCTCCCAGCTGTGATACTGTATAGTGAGCTGCATGTGGGAATCCACTTTCTGCAACACCCAGAAGCCCTGTTCTCCTTGGGGATGGCACTAGCACCCTCTGCTGTTGTACAGGAGCACCAAAGCCAGCTGAAGCCCAGTGCCAGCCCTGAGTGCAGGGCATCTCAGGGACAGCCCTCAAGATCCTTTGCTGAAGGCCCTGAGCCACAGAACCTCACAGTTACACTCTTGGCAACGTGACTTTGCAGTGACTTTGAGGCAGCTAATTTCCAAAAGCAGTGATTGCATTTGTAATAATCATGTTGCTTTGGTGTTTTTTTGCTTTTTCGTTTTCTTAAACCATGCAGAATGAGCTATGGTAGTTATCTACACTCATCCATCACCTACAATCTACAAGTGGGCAATGGGAAGTTGGAGCCTCACAAATGCAAGTCAGCTTTTATAAATGTATCAGTAAATCACCAGTGATTCAATGTTGATTTTAAAACCTCACCTTGCGGTTACATGAGTCTAGTTCTGATTTCTTCCTCTCCAAGCTTTTTGTCCTCTTGGCTGTAGAAAGAAACTGGAATAAAATAACTTCAGAAACCCAGAAGGCAAGTAAATACCAAATGCAGCATCATGTGATTCTCATGTTCCTTTCTTCTTTCTGAAAGCAACCCCAAGTGGCTGGTGAGTAACTCTGAAATCCCTTCGAATGAGTATTCACAAAGTTTCTTGTGATCACAGCAGCGCAAGCTGGCCGTGACCTACGGAGCTGCAGCAGCCCCAGAACAAAAGGAGCCATCAGCCCTCTGACGATGTTTTACATTCCTAAATAGATTTAGGAAACCTTATTAGTATGACCAGCTGTGCTGATCAGTGCCAGACCACACAAAGTCATCCCAAGACAAGATCTATGCACTATATCCATACAGAGAGTACATATTAAGCAGTACCTCTTTTTAATTTTTTCCTTATAGTTTCCTTTCCTTCCTTTCCAAACGAGGGCCATCTATTGCTCACTGTATCCAAGGAATTGCATCATCACCACTGACAACCACATTTAATAGTAAAATAAAAATGAGAATGGAATACAAAAGGGGTTCCTTCAAGACAAGGATTACAAAAGCATCTGTACATACCAAACATAATGGAAACAAAATCAAAAGCAAAAACAGGGCAGAGATTCTAGCAACATTTGCGGTACTTTAGGGAAAGGACCACAATTCCCACTAACTGAAAGAGAAGAGTTTGCTGAATAAGGCAATACATGTATTTTACACGGGGTCAGTAAGTGTCTGATGGGGTGGCAGCTGGACAGAACTTCAGAAATCAAAGCTGAGTATGTCCATTTATGTTACACTCAAAGGCTTCAGAGGAAAAGAAGAAATTGCTGTTAAGAGAAAGAAAACAAGTAGTAAAATAGGCCTGGATTAACAAACCAGCAGTGAAACTCTTAGTCTTTTTTGTGTCAGTACGAAACAAACAGAATCTATAGCTTCAGTGTGCCTACTTGAGTAAGTTTTCACCTATATAGAAGAGTCCACAATCTAGCTCTTAATTAATACTGTTTTCAATTATTGTGATCTATATATTTAAATTTGAGCCAGGACTGGAAGATTGAAGTCTTCCTATGTGATACCTCTTTTTTGTTTTGCAATTAGTCCTAACTTTTTTCCTCAAAAATACCTACCACCTTTCCAACTAAAAACTGCCCATCAGCCAAGTCAGCCTTCAAAGTTTGCACTGACTGTAAACAAGAATTTAAATGTGCAATCCTGCAAGAAAACACAAAAAGGACCACTGGGTGCCATTGGCTTTTAAGCCACTAACATCATTTTATAAAGCTTTTCTTTCAATAGCCTGCTCCCTTCAATGATGGCATTTTTAGACTGATGTTGGGTTACCAATTAAGGGTGGATGACTCACTGGGGAAAGCAGCTCCTTTATCATACAAGAATGTGGAAAATGGAGTGGCCTTTGAACACATGCTGTGAATTTCCAGGTAGCAACAAGTTTCCATCCGCTGCCACTCTTTAAGAGAGAGGGTTTGCTGATGAATCTCACAAAAAAGAAACCACTCTTTGCCATAATTAAAGGAAGAAGTTTTTTGAGGGTTTGGTTTGTGGGTTTTTTTGGTAGATTATTCCAGATTTCCAAACAGACAACCAAAAACAGAGTGGATGCTAGAGCATGATGGTTTTCTAGGATGTGGGAGAGAAAAGGAGGCATGTGCCTCTGGGTCATTCCACCTGGCATCACTGAGCAAAGCACAAGACCTGCAGCATTGCGATTTCAAATCATCCAAAAGGCAAAATGACTCCAACTCACAGTGCTGCTGTTTGGAACCCGCAGCTATCACAAAATAGGTCCATTAGCAATCAGAAGCAAAAGAGGGCCATTACACACAAGTGTGATGACATCAATGCCCATGAGTCACAGTGATGCATCAGTATACAGCATCATATCTATTTTGTAGCATACATTAATTCCTTAGCCAAAAACACATTGCACAAAACACTACATCGTTCATGGAAACTTTAAAAACATATTTAGCAAGGGAAACATTTCAAAAGCCTGAAGCACGTCTTCTTAGAACACCAGTGTCTTTTAGTCAAATACGTAAGTGTATGACATAAAGATCAAGTTTTCCTAGTAGTTGGTAGTACAAAATGCTCTGCTTGCTAATACTTCAAAATTGAGCCCCGGGTGGCATTTCTTCACTGTATGTTCACATACAGCAGTCTGAACAAAAGTTCTAAGGCTCTAATTTCTCGGAAAAATGATCCCAGTGAAGAAGGATTTAAATGGAGTTAATGCAGCTATTGACGGTGCAAAGAAGGACGTCCATGTCATTTGCTATTGTACAATCTGGGGCATTTCACTCCATGCTTTGGCTTTCTTCTTGGCCAGGGATAGCCAGGGTGGTTCAGCAGGACTGCATGGTGTCATTGGCAGGTTAGAAGAGTGTCTTGTTTCCTTTTCAACAGCAGGAATCACAGATGCTTCCTGAGCAATAGGTCCAACTTTACCTGCCAACAAGAAGATAGCCATCACTCATCAGAAGGCTAGAGAGTTAAAAACTCACTTTCTGCCAATAATATTTTTGTTCTCTGGAAAGAAAATCATTTTACAGCCCACAATGTCTGTGACTCAAGAATAGAAGTCAGAGAAATTACTACACTGGCACGATCTGGTCCAGCTACAATGAAGGCTAGGACTAGCTATTGCCATGGAAAAAACTGTATCAAGCTTTTAGTTGACAAAGCTGTCTGCAAAAGAATCTTCTCCTCAGCACTAGCAGCAAGTGCCTAGCCCCTGATGTATGAGGATGTTCTTCAAAATTCTTCAGACCTGAAGACTGCAGTCCCAGGCATTTTTATAACACATCATCAGGGCTAACTCATTTCTTAATCTTTTCAAACTCTTAATTGCCATGACAGTGCCAAGCAAGGAGCTCCACTGGCTTCTTCTGCTCTGTGACTGGCAAGAATATCTGGGAATAAGACTACTGAGTATGAAGGAAAATGGAAGCAAAATACTTGCAGGGCAAGGATCACCCCAGGCTCACTGAAGGCTTAGAAGAAACTGGTAGATGGTCTTCAATTCTGCTTCAGCAATATTGTTAAATACTAGATAGAGATCAAATGCAAGAAGGTGGGATTCTGGAAGAGTTAGGTGCTCCTTTTAATTGCAGCCTAACACAAGCCTGTCATCCTCACAAAGGGCGAAAGACTGTAGATAGGGCTCCTTGTATGGCTTTGAGTTACTGTTTAGAAAAGGCATCCTCCCTCCATCTTAGAGAATTTTCAAGATTGATCACTTCAGACAGCCTGGCATGGCGCATCACAGGTACAGCTCACATTTCTCAAGATATGATTCACAAGTCTTTCAACATTGTGCTCTCCCCATCCCTTTCAACCCATACAGGACATTATTTTCATGTCCAAGTCAAGCTGGGAAAACTCAAACATTTCCTCAGTACCCCATTAGCCTGTGTGTGGCATGTGGCTGGCAAGATGAGGCTGCTGTGCTCCAGCACAAGAACAGAGGCCACATAGGGACTTGTGCAACTCTAAGTACAGGAAGCTTGATCTTGCACACACTTAAATCAATGAAAAATGTCAATCAGCTTCACCAGCCACACTCCAGATCAAAGCCAAGGAAGCTCCATGTCTCTATGCAGGAGGTCTCCTTTCACAGCCTTGACTCAGTGCTATCCTTGCAAGAGGCAAGCTATACTTAGGAATAATGGAGGAAGTGTGCTATCCACTAAAACCAGGCTGCAGCTCTTCCTGCACAGTACATTTTTTTGAAAGCATCTAGGAGGATACAGGAATTTAAGTGTACTGAAATCTTGAAAATGGGTTTTCACTTTTCGGAAGACAAACCTCACCATGCTTAAGCAAAGTGAAAGAGAGAAGAGGCAAGCTGGGTAGTCTTCCCATGGTTATGGAACATGTGGGCACGGGCTGTCACACAGCAAAACAAACCAAACGCACTCAGTTGCATAAGTATCTGATTTCTTGGAATTTGTTTCCAAACTTAGCTGACACTGAGCTGTCCTGGCTTTTGCTGCTGTGTACAGAATGTGCAGAATTGTACACAAGGCCTCAGCCATCTATTATGGGAGAAGAAAACTGCTCAAGTTAACGTAAGCCAAAAAACAAAATCCAAACAAGTATCTCCTCTGGATACTGAATCTAAATCCCCTCCACCAACAGCACCTTCAACTGGGTGAACTGCTGGCTGTGCTAATGGGAACTGAATAGGAAGAGGAGAGTTTACATTTGGGATTCCTAACTTCCTGCTCACGTGCTGATTGTGCTGAGTGTTTCCAAAGTGTGGTTTTCTGAGTAGTTAAGGAGTGATGTTTCCCTTAAACATCAGACTGATTAGAGTTCTCTTTGACATTCCAGGAGTGGAAGGCTATCCCAAAAATGCTGTCCCTGGAGGGGAGAAATAGTCCTTGGTTATCAGGAAACTAGGTCAGTTCTTGGGAAGAGGTGGTGCAGAAAAATTCTGCTGCAAGGCCCACAGGCAGGATGAGTTCTACTAGATGAGTAGCAGCACGCTTTGTGTAGTTCTGGGCTTCTGCTGAAGGGTGCATGGCTTCCAAGACATGGATAATTCAATGCAGAAATCCAGCCTGTTTAGGACAGCCTTTCAAAGGAAGACTGCCATTTTATCTGAGCAAAATTCTCACTTTGCAACTAAAACCGTGAGATGAAGTTGGCCTGTAACAGAATGCTTTCTAAAAAAGATGGTATTTTCATCCCCTACCCATAGTTCGACTAGCAACAGACATAGAGTCTCCCTGCAGGTGCACATCCTCAGCTGGTCAGCTGCCTGGAGTAAGAGAGAAAGCTCATTCTGTAGCACTTGTAAACTCAGAAAGGGATAAATGGCCTATAAAAGCTACCATGGGGAAGAGGCAGGGATGTTAACCCCTTAGTATCTCCAATAACAAGAATTCTGGGTGCTGTGGATTGTAAGGGGAAAGTGGCCTTGTAGTGAAAGTGTCAGCAACAGGAATCTGGATCAGAGCCACTCCTCTGACACACTGAGGCATTTCTTATCTTCTTAGGCAGCATCTGAAATCAACAGTTTTCAGCTCACATAAGATGCTTGCACAGCGGAAGAACTGGCTTATCTGTACCTAGCTGGAGCGTGCTTGGCACCACACTGAGTGAGCAGGGAGGTATAAGCTGCAGCCCAGCAGTAGCCCTGAAAAAGGCATGTGAGTCACGACGTCTGAGTCACACTCTTCCCTTGCATTTCTCATACAGAGAATCAGAGTTAATAGGGCAGGAGGGGGGCCTTTCAACCTCTGCTCTCCCAGGGGCGGAAATGACTCTTACCTGTATTATTCCTGATGTGTGATTATCTAACCTCTTCTTGAACATATCCAGCAATGGAAACTGCAGACTATCTAGAAGACCTTATCCTATTCTGTGTATCAGTACTCTTTATTGTTAGGAAGTTTTTCAGCCTCCCCAGTGCATTCTAAGCTCATGCAGGGCATGAGCTTCCTCTCTGCAGCAAATTAAGTCCTTCTGTAGACTAAACAACTCCACTCCCATCAGTATTTCCTGGCTGACTGGAGGTCTAGAAGACCCGACCTTTTTGCTGCGCTGTTCTGGACACTATCCAACTTCAACTGCTTCCTGGAAGATATTTTTTATTATTGATCTTTGCCAGTAATAAATCACCATTCTGTTTAAATGTCATTCCATGAACAGGCCGTGGAGATGAAAGCACATCACTTGCTTTCTCTGCTGAAAAACCAGTGCATATAGAACTTAAACACATGACCTAACACATATACGACTTATATGCAAACTACAATCTGAACAGGCCTCATACAAAGTATGCTGATTATTCAAAAGAAAAGAATCATGGAATCATTAAGGTTGGAAAAGACCTCTACAATCACATAGCCCAATCATCCACCTACTATCAATATTGCCCACTAAACCATGTTCCTTAGAAGCACATCTACACAGTTTTTGAACACCTCCAGGGATGGTGACTCAACCACCTCCTTGCACAGCCTGTTCCAGTGATCACCACTCTCCATTCCCTACCACTCTTACCACTCACTGGTGTAAATTATACCCATTATGTAAAGATGTGGCTGAAAGAGAATACCTGCTGCAGCACACACACTGGTCTTCATTTGTGGTTTCTTCTCCTGAGTCCTCAAGCTAGAAGGCATGTTCTTCTGTATGTTCTCACTACCACAGATGATTTGCTAGAAAAGGAGGAAGAGAAAAAGAAAAGGCAAATAAGAAACCTGCCAGACAGCTGTGTTCCTAAAGCTTGCCATTAGAACTCTGGTAGCATCTCCAAATCTAACTATGGAAATGCAGAAAAGGCCAGACAGGAATAGTTAGGGAGGGAGAGGACAAGAAGTAAGATAGTTGTTACAAATACAGGGTCACTGCACATGCAAGCAAGTTATCCTCTCTTTCTCACTGAGCAGGAATTTAAGGCTTGCAGAGGAAATATATGCAAGAGTCAGTGGAGAAGCCAGACCTTCAGTACATCTTCTGCAGTGAAGCAGAAGCACTGGAGCAGATCTGTGAATACTGTCTGTAGGACACCAATGGTGAGAAAGCTGCTGCACTGCACAGCAGCTCTTGGTGAAGGATTTACCCCCAGGTAACTTTACTTGGCACTCTACCTCCTCTTGATCAACTTTGCTCGAGGTTTGCTCTTCAGCCTTCTGTTCTTTGGCAAGAGGGTGGTCCTGGAAACCCTTTTGTTTTAGTTTTGCCACGGAGATCCAAGCTGGCTCGGAGGAAGCAGTTTCCAAATGGAGAGAGAATACTTTTTCTATAGAAGAAATATTTTTGAAATAAAGAAGGGATTTAGGTCAAATCAGCCAAAAGCTAGCGTGTTTTCTGTTTTAAATCCTTCTGCTTCTTAATACCCTTTGAACACCAGGGAGATAAAATTACCTTCCCTGATGATCCTGTCCTTGGCATTAACCACTTCTCTGCTTATTCTACGGTTTTTTACTGAACTCTGCTTCCGTTTAAGTCAGTGGCAGAACTCCCACTGGGACCATTGTGAACCGGATTTTGCCTTTGAAACAACATCCTTACATCGCAGACTGCAGTAAGATAACCATTATTTTTTCATGTCGGCTGTAAAACACAGGCTACCATTTTGCCTTTTGAGTATTTTAAATTAAGTGACCATAGGAAAAAAACCATGCCCAGTGCAACTCCTAGTTAAGGTCTGAACTACTGCAGTCTGGAAAATTAACTACAGAACAGCAGCAACTTTTACAAAGCTGTGTTAAAACTCCAACTACATGCAGAAATAGGTTGCACCAGAAATGTTCCAGATGCCCTTAAGCTGTTATTCTGACATTATTCTTGCTGGAACACACCCCTCATTAAGATAAGCCAAGAATTCTCTTGACTGGCTCAATCATCAAGCTATGAAATGATGGTAATAACCATCATCAAACTCAGCTCAAGGCTGAGTTTGGTCCTCTTCGAGAGGATTTTATCTTTTGTTTGCCATTTTTTCAAAGGTCACCACTTCCTACAATGTTTGAGTAAAAGTACAGCATAAATACCTGAAGGTTTAGTACCATTTTGCTTCTTTGTCCCTTCTTCTGATCTTGTCTTGGCAGGACTTTTGTCTTCTAAATCAGCTTGTTTTAAAAATGATGTTGTGCTGACAGGAAGGCTTGGAGATGGCTTCCCAATGCTCGCTGGCTTCTGATCCTCCTTGACTGCAGCAGAAGCAGTGGGAGCAGCTGAGGGGAGCAGCTTTGGAGACTCAGCACGGCTTTCACTCTGGTACTTCAGTAAAGAAGATGTCCTCCTTAATTTGACCCCAAAAGGATTTTCAACACTTTTTGCTTCATGGTCAGCCCACTCCAGAGAAGAATTCAAATGCAAATCACCGTCCCTACAATCTCGATCAAATCTGTTGGAGTTATTTTTCATGGAATCCTGGATGACTGCATGTTGTTTTGTTATTCCTTCAAATAACTCTGGTCTTACAGGGGAGGTTGGGGAACTTCTCATATAGGAATCTTCCTTTGAATTTGACCCCCCCGAGAGAGATCTTTGCCATGCAGGTGCAATGGTAAACCTAACTGGCTTCGCAGCAGCAGTCTTTAGCAGACTTTGTATATTTTCTTCTGAGGACTGACTGTCTTTCTCTGGTTTCCTGTGAGAAGCTGCACTGCTTACTTGGTACTTACAGTCATCGTTAGAAGAGACATTACATGTCAGTCCAGCCAAACTTGAAGAGGCCAGACTTTCAATGGAAAGCTTTTCAGAAGCATGTGATGTGCAGGTTTGCTGACTGACATGGTTATCCTTTGAAACAGGACAAGGTATTGCTGCTTTAAGGCATAGTTCCAATTTGCTGGGAGGTAGCATGCAACCTGCTTCTAACACAGACGCAGCAGTGTCTGTTTTTTTTCCTGCACTGCCTTTGGATGGCTGAAATTCTGTTTTTTCACAAGTTTCACTGTCATTTCTTGTTACTGAGCTGTTGTCAGACTTCAAAACATCCACTGTCTTGACGTCAGAACACTCTGAATCAGCTACAGCAACCTGTGAAGTGCTCAGAGTGGTATTTAAGACAGACTGGTTGGAGCAGCTCTCATTAATACCCAGAGAAGCTTCTGCTTTGCCAATCAATAGTGTACCCACCTTTTCCTGGTCTTTGACATTTTGGTCCACAGATTTTGCTGGGGAGTTTTGTGCAACATATGCCAATGCAGTTATACTCTCCATTTCAGTGCCACTGCTAAACAAGTTAGCTGCTAGTACACCTGGAAGCACAACAGCTCCTGCTTCAATTTGTTGAGATTTTGGAAGTGCAGATGCTTCCATATTGGTATTTTGCTGATGTAAATTCAGTTCCCCAGAAGTCTCACCTGAACACTGCGGCACTGCAGCACTGTGCTGTTCCCCCAGGCTCACTGGAGGAGACTCAGGTCTCAGAAGAGATGTGGCTGCATTACAGTGACGGTCCACATCTGGAAGGCATGCATCTTCTTGCAGCAGAGTACAAGAGTCTTCTGCCATAAGTGTGGAACTGTAGGAGTCAGGGTCAGCATCAGCAGGACATTTTACACTTGGTGTCTCCTTAGAACCACCTCCCTTTTCACCATGCTCCACATGGGCTGATAAGCCTATATTAAACAAGAGAAGAGCGTGCATTTCAAGGTTCAGGCACCATCTATGTTAGTAATTCATACCAGAAAAATGGCTGTTAAAGCATATTTTACAATAAAGCTAAATGAGTGTTGTCTGCTCAAGGTGTACCTTATCACTGGCTGTTTAGTTCTTTCCCGTGTGCATCCCTGTTTGTAAAGCTAACAAACAGATTTCTGGATATCTGGATTTCCCTATATATTTCCTCATGCATATACCTAAAACAGTTGTCTAGATTGACCTGGAGGATTTTTTTGTGTTTGAACAGAGGATCTCAGCATCAGGTAGCACAGCCTCCTGGAGCTGCAGCAGGGCTGCTGAGCGCCTGCATGGCAGAGAGATGTCTGCACATGGAGTAACTCTGATGTGTCTCTCTGTGAAGCAGCTCAAGAGACGGCTGCAGGGACAGGCAATGCATGAACCCCGAGTAAGGTAAGCAGCTCACCTGGGGTTGATGTTACCCTTTATCAACTATAGAGTGTACATTAAATTCAATCCTCCCTGAGCACCTGAGACCCACCAACCTGCACTGATATCTGGGAAATCTGGGATAGAAATACACCAGCAAGACTCATCACAGCTGACCCCTTCAAGTGCAGACTCAGACTCTTCTCCAGCCCCTAACCTGTACTGATGTGTGCGATTACTCCTCCCCATGTGCAAGACTAAAACACAATTCGTGTACAGCAGACTCCAATTAATGCAGTAGAGATGCCCAGCTAGCAAGCAGGCGATATCTGTGTGCTCCATTTGGTGCTCGCTCCTGTGAAACAGCAGGAATCCTCAGTGCTTTTCATGCAAATGACAGACACTAATTTCTTGAGCTAGCAACACTTAGCTAGCTCCCACAGGGTCAGGCCATGAGTCTGCCCTGAAAACAAGATGCCAACATTCCCACTACACTGTAGCATTACCATCAGTCAGTGCACTTTTAATATAGTGCTAAGTAAAAAAGTATGCATTATTCTGCAGAAATTTCAGTTGCTTTTGCAAGTTAGATTACAGCTGTTTTACCACATGTAATTAGCTGTTATTCAAATTATAAGAGGGAAGGCAGGAGAGGAAGGTCTAGTAAACAAGCCAATTAACACCACCTTACACATGTAACATACAATTACAGAATCACAGAATCATAGGATCACAGAATGGCTTGGGTTGGAGCAATGCTGAGGTTGTTTTCTTCTGAGTTTCAGGAAACTCATCCCCAGCCAATGTGAACTAGCCAGCTGTGTAGAACTTCTGAACCTGCTACATTCACCTCACTTATTTTTCACACTGTCCTGAAAGAGCACCACAGTTTGACTGAAGAATATGACGTCACCATCACACTTCAGCATCCAGGACTGGTTTTAAAGTATAAAACTGAGAAGGTGCCTGGTTTGAAAGAACTCTCAGCCAAAATAGGTCCTGTAGGCCTATTACAGAAGAGTTCAATCCACTGTTTTGGAAAGTCACAAGTTTGCATTACCTTCCCAATCGCTTTTATGCTGGTCACTTTCAAGTAATTCTGTTGGATTTCCCTTCTTTTCCGGAGTTTCACAAAGGCATGCTTCTTTTTCTATGTGTTCCACCTAATGAAGTGCAGAAAGATGTTTTAATTAAAGAATAATGCACAAAAATTGTATTTTATAAATACACATGGATGTTTTTGAATACACAAAACATTTAGAAATGAAACCTGTCTTCTGTAATTTACCAACACTGTGGGTAACGTGCTATCCCCGTTAAGAAGCTCAAAATCATTCATGTTTTAAACTATCAAAGGTCTCTGGAAAACTCTGAGATTCATGTACTCTGAGAGAATGAACATGTTTTGAAGAGGTCACCCAAGCAACCTGATGACAGAACAGAGCAAGGCAGAGACATCACCACCACTTCTGGTACCTCTGACCACCATTCCAATTAGCTTTTCTCCTTCAGCACTACAGCAGCACCAGCTGCAGCACAAAAACATCCAGCAAAGATGCTACAGGGCCCAAGTTTCCAAGCAAACCTCATTCTATATTCCAGTCTTCCAGAATTTCCAGCTCTCCCTCCCTTCCTCAGAGTGGGGCACTTCTAACTCCAGGACAGATTGCCATGCATGGGTCTATGATGGAGGGGGCAACATGCAGTACAGAAGGGTTGTTCCTTTTTCCTTCATCCTCCAGCTTCACTGCTGCCTTTCCTTGTGGCAAACGTCACCTTCACATTTCCTAGAGGGCAGGAAGACAAGCCTCTCATCCTAATTTCTCTTTTCCAGGAGGTCTCTCATCCCATTATCACTCAAGTATACTTTCTCAGGCCACAGAGACAGCTCAAGACTTTCTGTATTTTTTTGTTTTCATCCACCTCAGCAACAGATTCTCACAAGCAAAGGCACAACCCTTCCTAAGACCCTTCCTTTGGCATAAAAAAAAATTACACCAAAGATAATCTGAAATTGTTTGTAGAAATAGGCCTGGGCTTCTTTAAAACTGAAAACAAGCTTTTCAAACAATATGGATGTTTTTACAGATGGATTATAACATGAAATTTTTTTGAGTGAATAATGAAAAAAAATTAAGTTGCATTTTTATTCAGCACCTATTTCACTGAAGTAATGGGTTGGTAAAAAATCATGTGGTTTGTCACCTATTTCCAGAAGGGAAAAAGTAAAGGAAGGTGAGCATGTTCTTCTGCACAGGAATTCTTTTCCAGAGGAGACTCACCTGGCTTTGCTGGCTCTTGCTGGTGAAGCCCTTCTGTCTCCGGGGGTTGATGGCAATGCGGTGCCGGGCAGCAGAGGTGTCCAGGCAGCCCAGGGGGCTGGCAGGGATGGTGAAGTCAATGGGAAGGGAGCTGCTGCCCCGTGAGCCTGCAGCCCCTGGAGCAGCAGAGGCTGAAGGACTGATGGGCCTGGAGGAATCTCCAGAAGGTATCTGTAAAACACAGACATGTCACTGTATGTTTTGCCCACACTCCCACAGCTCTGAAACATCATTCCTTTGTTAGCTAACTCTGTTTCAGAAGCCTGAAACGGACATAAATCCTTACTTTAATGTCTAATGCATGTCTAATGTCTATGCACGTCTAACGTTGTTTCTGCACAGAGATTCCTCAGCTCTGCATGTTTGCAGCTGTATATTACACAGAAGTGAGAAATGCCCACTGCAAGTGCCTCAGCTGCCCCTTCCCACTTACTGTCTGAGAAGCCATTTGCAATATATATATGCACCAGCAGGAGACACTGGTGCAGTTTTTATAGCTGCCTTTTCTTCCAGATAATGAGACACAATGCAGGAATGTATTATTAAAAAGCCACAGTAGCATGGGTGTTTTCTCCTCATTCCTTCTACTTCTAAGAAAGTTACCACAACCACTCAGCTCTTAATATCACCTTCCCAGGATAAAAACCAATGCTTCTCTCCAACACATCTCCCAGACCCATCTCCAGACAGTGGTGTGGATCTCGTCCCCGCACCAGTGCTGCTCTGGGGAACTGAACAGCAGCAACCTTAGATTAAATGATCAAAATACAGCATTTACAGGAATGCTTGTAGAGAAACCCCTAAACATGCAGTGGGACTGGTACTGTTACTGATTTGAAATGCAGACCTGCAAAATGTCACACATGCCCAATAAGTTTGATTCAGTCTAACGCACTCACTACTTTGGCTCTGGACACAGAAGCAGGTGAAACAGCCATGGGCTTGGCATTTGGCTTGGTTTAAGCCTGATATACTGCATGGAATGTAAAGCATATGTATGCTGATAAGGTTCTAAAGATAATGAGAGCATCTTACCAACTGAGCTACAAAAACTAAGTATGCTGTTTTGTGTTTAAAGCAACTGAAGCTCATTTCCTTATTCCCTATGCCATCGTCGGTCTGAAACCAATTACAACAGAATGTCTGAGATTCTGCTCACAAAAGTTTTATACATTGTGAAAAGACAAAGAATACATCTAGTAAATTGTTATTACTATAATTCTGTAAGATTAATGTTATGCTAAGCTCAAAAGGATCACATTCAAGTTCTTCTGCCTTTCAATTATGGAATCACAATTCTGCTTATTTAATATACAAACCACCTGAAACTAGCATCTGAGCAGCTGCTGTTATAAATGGCAAATGTATATAGCCTATTCCACTGAGGATATTCAGGGTATTTTTTTCCTGTGAGCACTGACTGTTGATTGGTATCTTCTCTCACCAACAGCGGAGCAGAGACAGGCTTTGCACACCAATATTGGAGCACAAGGTAGATTTGGTGCTGGTTCTCATGCAGTGATGGAATCCTGCAGAGAGTGCTGTGAGGCACATTTCCTACAGAGCGTTTGTGCCAAAAAATTGTTCCCAGCCACAGAAGTGGAGGCCCTACTTTGATTTTATTTGCCCTGGGCTGAAGTTAGATTTCCATACAGACTCTCTGGCAAAGCAGTGTCAGTGCTGGTCAATGTCTCTGCAAAGTCACCTGATGCTGGCTTTGACAGTCTCAGATTTATCCCCAGGTAACCAGGAAGTTGGCATCTATAAATGCAGAAGTCTCCAAGAACTGACACCAGCGATGTATGAGGGTTTTTCACACAGCATGAAGGTCTTGGAAAGCCCAGGAACATAACAGAGGGGGTTCAGAGATGTTCAGTAGCCATCCTCTGCGTCAAAAGCAAGTAAAATGTAAACCACCACACTGTGTGTCGATTCACACTGCTTAGGATTGAATTCTCTTTAATGAATACAAACATGTTATTAAATGGAACAAATGTTGCTGAGTTCTCGGTGCTCTTCAGCATTTCTTTCATCTTTGGGATGAGGTCACTCCTTGTAGCAACTTGTTCTACTAGTTCAAATCCTGGCATTACACAAAGACCTACAAATGCTACTGAAAAAAAACACCTGATGATAGCTTTGGAATTACGACTTTTAGTTTTAATAAACATATTAGGAAGATTTCTGCTTAGCCAAACTGCTCACCAAAAAAATACCAGGTAAAGAAACAGATGCTGCACTGTAGAAATTAGCCAGATTCCTAGGGAACTGGTGAGAAAAAGAAAGAACCTTTCAGCTGGGGAATTCTGTAAAATATGGAAGAGGGGAAAAAAGTTTTGTACTGTTCCCACCTTTCTTTCTCATAGGGAATGAGGATGAAAAGCCGAAAAAGCTGTGAAACTGTGGTGTCAGAAAGAGAAGGGTTTTTTACATTGTAAGGAATAAACAGTATGGAAGCTTACAAAACGAAGTATTTTAGTAAAAGTGTAAAACAGGAGCTGCATTAATGAAAAGATACACGGAAGTAACAACAAAATAGGTAATCTATTAGAAAGTAATGGCAATCTAAGTTACTTTGATCAGTTTGGGCTCTAGAGGTGTCTGAGCAGAAGACAGTTAGAAGTGGGAATCAGTACTTTATCTTTCTATTCCTAAAGGAAAGGATCAAGGGATGACCATGCAGGAAAGCACCTGGTCTCAACCGTAGACAGGGAAGCTGAGCTGGTTTCTCTCTCCTTTTTCAAAGGCTGGAGAAGGAGAGAATGAAAGTGAGTTTCCTCAGCCATGGGCTGGCACGAAGCGTTTGAGAGTGTGGGGTGGGCAGGAACTCCACTCAGCTCCAACCAGCAGGGACAGTCAAGGAGAAAACCAACAAAGCACCCTGCAAAAACATGACCTCTATACATTTTGCCAGGCTGCTCAAGTAACAGAATGTGTTGTCCTGACAGCAGAACTTGCTGCTTGTAATAGTCACTTGTCATTCAGAGGAAATGCCAAATCAGTGCGGAGCTTTTCCTGAGGAATGTGGTGTAAAAAGGACAGATCCTGCACTTACTGCCAGTGATGAGAAGCAGGCCATTGCTTGCAAGCCACTGGTCAACAGGTGTTATTAAGCTGTAAGTGCTGCTGGGTATTTGGGCACTGGGTCATGGAAGAGGTGTTTCTAGTCCTCCTATCTTGTCCGTTTTCCTGCTGTGTAACTTTAAAGACTTCTACTGTGTTACAGAGCTGACGACACTGTTCACACAAACTCCTTACCAGTAGATTTCTGCCTTTGTTTATTTGGTTCTTATTGCAAACTCTGTGAGAGATATGATTTCAATACCGTTGGCACCACTCTGGACTGTTCATGAGCAGTTTGTACAACATACTCTAACCCAGGATACACAAAGTGAGTACTCTAATGGCTCCATACAGACATCACACATGCTGGTTTATTAGCAGGAAGAGTAGCTGTTTACCTGTTCATCTTCACTGTCTGTCCCGCCTAAACTCAAAGAGCTATGACGTTGAACAGGGTTGGAGGACTGTGGGATAAAATAAGGAAGAGGGTAAGTCAAGGGAAGGATCGCAACGAATCACCTGGGACTGGATGTGCAGCATTAAGATTATGAAAAAATACAAGAGGAAAGTTACAGGAAGGGTGACTGCAAACTCCCTGTCTCACAGAACACCTCTCATTTGTTCACTGGAGACCAGACATGAGGTAGGGGAACTTTATCCTGCTACTAGATATGCCTTAAAGGTTGACCTCAAAGAACCAAAGTGCTCTGCTGGGTGTATTTGCAACAGGGCAACATGCACTTTAATGAGGAATTGAACCAACACATTTTTTAAAGTTATTTTAGTTTTTGGCTTGTTGTTTTAAGAACTTTGAATTGACAAATGCTTGCATACTCACTCAAATCCAAAATCATGCATCTGCTATAGAAAGGCTATTCATAAGAAAGATAGCTCCAAGTCTCTTTAGAGCCTATCAACACCTATTCTCATCATACTCATGAGATTCTAGCTTCCCTATCAATTCAGTTAATATTGCCCTGATTCTGAACTATTTCATTCTAAAGCCAGTAACTAAGATTATTCTGCAGTCCCATTACTTTTGTTTCCCCTATTAGCTTTAAAGCACCATAAATATCTTCCTCTTTCATATACGCAGCAAACTGCCAATCTGCCCAGCTCTTTGGTGCTCAGAGACATGGGAAGTCTGTGCAGTGTGTGTACCTCAGCTTGTTCTCAGGCTGGGAGTGGTACAGTCACACTAACACAACACTCACCCGTGAATACTTCACTTTCTATGCTTTCTGCCCTGTGTACCTGCCAGGAGACACTGCCTTTCCCAAAGGCATTCAGAAATGTCCTATCAACTGACTTACTTACTCTCCTCCTTCCTTTATGATATAGGTTGCAATTGCCCCAGAAGAAGTCTACATAAAGCCCAGAAAACTGTACTTGCGGCCCTCACAGTGATGAGTCCACCAAACTCATAGATAACTCATTCTAGTTCTGACTGATGGGTACCATCACAACATGCCTGGCAGTAGAAAGAGCTTTAAACCACTAGGCAGTTCATTAATGCAATCAGACTTTAATGAACCAAAGAATTATGCTTGTTCCTTATTCACAAATGTGTGCCTGAAATGGATGACTCCAGTGGTGTTTTACACAACTATCGTGTCTAAATACCATAGGATTGCATAAACAGAATAGAAAATGGCATCAAAACACATATTTGTGTGTACAGAGGTTTTATCGCAAGTGAACAAAAAGGCCTTTCCCTTCCTCAAACAGATATTATTTTTTCTGTGCAGGTCACTGAAGTGATGTAACAACTGTACCTTGCTTGGTGAATCGGTCAGAACTTCATGAAGGGTTGAAATGTCAGGAGGGCTTCTGGGCAATCCATCATCCTCCGAAACTGTGCCGGCATCTTCCGTTTTCTTTCCAGTGATAACAAGTGGAGGAGATCCAAGCCTGATGTTTTGCTGCAGCTGAAGCTGTGGTTAAAGAGCAATTTAGACTTTCACTGGCATTGTCTACAATTTGGAAACTTTTACCCCAGTTGCTTCTATTAGACATGAGGAGTCTTTTGTTTAACAAAAGTATTTGAAGGAACAAGCTACGCACAGAAAAAAGAAAAAATAAAGAAACATTAATTAAATTTTATTTAAATGTATACATCAAGGACCCATAGTTAGAACAGACTTCCATGCAAAACTAACTTAAAAATCAGTTTTACTCAGTAAGTTATCCAAGACAAATTTTACCAGGCAAGAAAATTCATAGCAGCATAACTAAGTTTAGATTTAAGCTTTTATCTTAGGCTTAAAAATTCTCTACATGATTACACATGCCAGGACACCCAAACAGTCCCACAAAGTACTGTGAGCCAGCAGTCCCCAACCCAGGCTTATGAGGACAACTCTTCTTCCCAAAGCCCTTCCAAATCCCACCAGCCTGTCACCATCCTCTGCTGCACAAATCACTAAGACCCACTTCTTACAGAAAGAGAGCTTTATTCAATTTCTGGTCCACCCTAAGGAGCTGCTTGTTTGTTTGCCCCAGCATCACGTCCCGGTTCTGTCTACAGCAAGAATGATAACAATGGTCAGGAACAGCTTTGTTTGTAAAAGAGCATGGAGATTCTTTTCCAAGCCTGCACAAAAAAGCGCTCCAGCAGGCCCTGACCCTCAACAAGAAAACAAAGCCTGTAACCTCACAAGGAGCCAGATGTTCCCTCCAACTAAAAAAGCTCCAAACTCAGGAAACACCATTACCTGAACTCTTGGCTTAAGTATTTTGACTGTGTCAAATCTGGAGTATAGACAAGGTCTGAGCAGCATTTTTGTGCTTCAACTAAAAAGACCTCATTTCCCCAGGATAAACATGCAGACCTCTTTTTTTCTGGTTCTTTGCTTACTGAACTAACTTTGGACATTCTACGTCTAAATTTTATGCTGTTCTCAAAGCTATGCATTCATTTGTACCCTTTAAAACAGATTTAAGCAGCTGTCATTCAGTGGGATTCATTTGTTGCTCATCCAATAGCTAAAGCAGTTACATATGGTAGCACAATGGCATCCTCAACCTCCAGGCCCCCAATTTAAACGGCTTTCCTTCCTCTTACCCTGATCAGTCAAATAAGTACCACCAATACAGTCTGCACAATCAAGACTGACAACAAACTGCACAAAGATTGCATTATAAGGGCAAAAAAATATGACATACAACATATATGCATTTAATGGGAAGAACACAGCCAATTTTATTCTCCTCTCTCTTCACAACTTCCCATCTCTGACTTACTAAATTTACTGCATGCAGACAGTAAAGTGGTAGGGGAGAAAATCTGAATTTGCAGTTTTTCTTTTACTAGTAGAGGTTAGTCTATGCTCCTAAGAAAATATCTGCTTTTGTTAGCGCTTGGCTTTTAATCTGACAACAGTCAAACACAAAACCAAGCTGTCTTTCATGGCTAAGAAAGCAGTGCTGGCAATATTAAGTTACCATGCAGGATGACACACAGATGAGGAGAGGGCACAGGGAGTTGGAAATAGCATGAAAAGAGGTTTTTTTCCTCAGTGAAGTTCTATCATACACAAACACGACCTCCCCTGCTGCTCCTATTGTTGTGCAAAAAAGACCCTGAATTGAAGGTTGGCTTACTTTGCAGTCTCATGGAGGAACAAATCTCTCTGTGCATCTTCTGTTTCTTAACATGTGATGCAATGGTGCTTTGCAACATGAAGCTCACATTGGGCCAAGGAAGAATTTCAATGGCCTTTGGCTGCCTTATCAACAGTTTGTTTTGGTCTCTGGAAAAACCTTAAACTTTTATCTCAGTGCTCTGAGCTGGGTAACTATTTGAACGCAGTTAACGTAGCCAACAGCTGATAAGAGAGCCGTCAAGGAAGGATCGGTATGTGCTTTGGAAGAAGGAAATGACCTAGCAGAAAACAGTATCCTCTGCTGGCAGAGAACAGAAGAATAATGATATAAATAAAGCTGTCGTTAATAATGACCTGACAGATCCATCATCCCACACACTTGCACAGACCCTGGTGCTAACGTGTGGAAAAAAAACGCAGCCAGAATTGAAAAAAAAAGGCAACAAAAACCCAACAACTCCAAAAAACACAGTACAGATAAGTGGCCTTAACCCAAAAGCAGCAGCTATGAAGTAAAGAATGGGAATTCCATTGAAAGAAGACTCACTCATCAAGGAAAGATTCAGTTCACAGACTCTTGGACACACGTCTATTGCACAGTATGGGACCTGGACAAGGCTGAAAACACCACAACTATTCAAAGACGCAGCTTCCAACAAGCAGAACAGATCCAAAGCAGTTCTGCCTTGGATGCTTCAGTCAACACAACACGCAGCAGAGGCAACAAGCAACAGAGTTTCCTGGGAGGCAGCTAATGGAAGGTAGCACCATGAATGAGAAAAAGATGTTCTCACCTGCAAAGTTTTCACTCTTCCAGGTATGCATTCCTGAGATGACGTGTCATCTGCTGCACTTCCTGATACGGACTCAAAAATGAAGACACTGTCATGCGACAAGGCTTTGTTTCCCATGTTTCCTTTGGGCCTAGAAGGAAGGAAGAGCAGTTAATGCCATAGGTACAGCTCTCCAATACTTTTCCTTGCATGGTGATCTTAAAGAAAAGGGGGTGAGATGCATCTCACTCAACAGCAAGCTAACTGACTGAGGTAGTCATAGCTAGATCCTTCTACACCCCGGAGGGAAGAGGAAGAACTTTTTAGGATGCTAACTGAATGGAAGTGTCTATTTTAGGATGTGAGCAGCATCAGCCTTGGACACACAACCTGGTCTTTGTGGGCTAGAGAGGGAATCCAGGGTGGTATGTCAGGTGATGACAACATTCACTTCTTTCTCTCTGTATATATATCATAACAATTGGACTAGATGATCTTGAACGTCTTTTCCAACCTCGATGATTCTTTGACTCTACTTGCATTTGCAAGAGAATTACTGTATTTTTGTCTGGCAGCAGCAAAAAGAGCATCGGATGAAATATACTTAGAATTAACTGTAGATTTCATACAGATGAGTCTTTTATGTGCAAACATTTGTGTGCAACTCCAGGCAGTGTATTTTTATTTGCACTGAAGTAAAAGAGACACTGTTTTTTAAACCCCTAGATGTTTTAGCTACTTTATTTCCAGCACTGCTTTTCCTGTGCAAAAGCTCAACTCATTCATGTGCAACACCCCTGAAGCTGCTGTGCCTAAGGACATGATGGGGCTTTCAACCCAGTGCCTTAACACTGCCATCAGGGAAGCTTTTCTATTTCCATTCAAAACTCACACCTCTCAGAAAACTAAGAGGTAGTGGCACATTACGCCCACTTCTCCTTCACAGATGACCAACCTCATCGATTCCCTGCAGCACCATGGCATTTGGTACATCTGGGGTTCAGTCTCTGGATGTTATTCAAAGAAGACTGCATGTTAAATGAAAACAAAAAAGAGGAGGAATGGGAAGAGTAGAAGAAGGAAAAAGAAGCAAACCCAATACTTCTGTCTTAAGAACAATAAACAGCAAAACTGTTTTAGGATTGGCTTTTGTATTCAGCATGACAGGAATTGCAAGGCTCAGGACCTGACTACAGACCCTTCAAAGCTGTACTTCCATTGGCTTTCAAGATCAGGTCTTCCAAATGATTTGTCCAATCAGCCTCTCTTGGTATCTATAAAGTGTGCTCATGCCATGCAGAGTCTGGACAGGACAGGGCTTTCAAATAGCACAAACATACTTTTTTTTGTTATTATCATTTTTTCTTGCATAGTCCAACCAATCCTAAGACTAAAGGAAAAAAAATGGAGAGATTTTACTCACTTCTTGATCTCTGGTCTTATGAAACAGTTTTAAATCACTGGAGAGCAGGGAGAAAAGGGCTGAGGAAAAGAGCAACTGGACTTGGAGAAGGGCAAGAGAAAAGTGTTCTCACTTACACAGTTTCTGGAGCAGACAGTTGACTTCAAGCCAGATCCCTCCTAAGGGCTGATGGGGTAAGCTCAGCCATTCCTAAACCTCTGGGACCAGGTTAGCTGAGTCACTAAAATTCCCTTTATCCTAAGGAGGGGTTGTGTAGCCAGTTACTTACTCTGTTAATATTACACTAACAAATGAAAGAAATAAATTGTTTCCTTAAACCCAAATTGTTTTTATGATGCAGTTGTATAATTACAACACACAGAGTGGAGAATGGTAGCACAAGGAGGCACAAGAACCCGTAAGAAAGTAATATCCATAAGTGATTCCTTTTTCAATGATACAGTGCATTTGGCAGCAATGCTGACTTAATGAGTCTCACACTCATGGCTTCTGCCAGTGTTTTATGCATCCAACGTCCTCTCCAACAACATACTGCAAACCCTGGGAGGTGATCAGTACTGTCACACTTGGTCCATCCACTCCATAACTCCACAATCCAAGGCCTGAGATACTCAAAGAGAGGCCTGAGTAGTTCACATGGAAGGAAAGCTGGAAAGCAACCAAGTTACAGGCTGCAAGATACTGACCCGTGACACTCCTGGTGAGAGACATAACCGTGTTCAGAGGTTTGTCCTGTTCCAGAAATAGGGCCAAGCAATGTAAGTGTTGTTGTAGCATAGATGGTCTATGGTTATAGGTGAAGCACTATTACCAGTGCAAGTTAATACTTTCTATTTAACGAAGCGAAAAAAGGACAATTTTCTGAACTGACTCCACTCTGTGACCAGAGAATTGTTGTGGGCACAAACTTCACTCATATGCACAGCACTTCACGGTGGCTGACACAAAACTAGAGGGCTTCTGTTGCTCCCTGTACCTAAATGGTTGTGCAAGAAATTTAAACTAAGCAGCATTTTCATACCAAGAACACATAACTCTTTCTTTTCCCTTATCCCAACCAGAGGCCACAATTTATGCTAAAAAATAGCAACTCAACTTGGCACGTATTCCCTGCGTTGCAGAATTCAATCATTCTCCTCTTGTAAAGCTGATGATTATCAGACCTTCCAGGACAGATTTCAAAGACTAAAACAAATCAAAACAATCTGGGCTGTATTCAGTTTTACAGTCTACAAGGTTGGATCACCCCTGCCCCTGGCTGCCCTCCCCCTCTCCTCCATGTTGGCTTTTGAAGCAAGTAGCAAAGAAAGAGGAAATTCCTGGAATTCCTTCATCAGCATTAGGGCTTGTTTTGCACAGACTTGGACGGAGGCTGCTCCTAAGGGGCCAACTTGTGCTTTCATCCTATTGCAGCAAGAGGTCTGCTTTTATTTATTTATTTTCCTTTCCCGCCAGCTTACCCAGCCTCCTTCGGTGAATGAAGTGGGTTAGCATCGAGCACATAGATGCTGACGTCCCTGATGGACTGGCTAGGTTTTAAGTTACTCTCCCCTCTGGGAGGTGGAGGTTCTTTCCTTTTCTTCTTGGCAAAGAAGTTCTTGAAAGTCTGAAATCTGGATTTTTTCTTTCCTGCAACATGAGAAAAATGAAAATTTACGGAAGTTGGAGGTGTTGCTTAGCTTGGAGAAATTTTTTCTTAAATCCTGGAGGAAGCCTGTGGAGAGCCACGAGCAGGAGCAGCCCATTCAGTCCTAACCAGCTGCTTTGTAAATAATTCAGCACCAGAGTCCTGTGAAAGGTGAAGCTGCAGTTCTTAGACTGGCTGCCTATAAAGGAAACGCTGGCCTTCAGCTGACAATGGTGCTGCCTACTTAGGTTCCAGTTTATGAAAAATGCACCTTACGTAGAGAACACTTCTATCTACAGCTGAACAGTGATAACACAAATCAGACTCAGTATAGTTTTGATAAAACAATATTTTAAAATCTTTCACTCTGAATGCCTTTAATTTGCTTTGTTTATTTCTGCTTTTTCTTTACTCAGTGCTGTAAGGACACAAAGAGATTAAAACTGGCAAGCGAATTTAAAAACCCTAAAGCAAAAATGTCTGTATTGCTCCAAATTAAAATCAGCTCCTCCAAGATCAATGGAGCAAGCTGAAATGAAGATGCTCACCTGCAGGATGTGAAACCCCCAAACACAGCAGCTCTGAGAACATAACTACAAAACTGTTGATCTCAGATTTTCTACTGTTGTTGAAGCGAAAAGAAATACAAAAAGAACAGCACAGACTGTAAGGGACATAATTGACGTCTTTCATTTTGAATAAACTAAGATATTTTATCATTTTTATTTATATTTTCTTTCAATGCACAAGAGCTGCATTTTATTTGTCACTGACTCTTACACTGAAGGGTTGGTTTGGAGTGGTCTGGGCCAAGCTATTGTACTAAGACCCTTGTGGTGGACATAAATGCATATGCAGAGCAATAACATCACTGCGTATCAGAGCCAAATTCATTGTTCAATTAATACTTTACAGCAGTTGGCATAATGAATGTTCACAGCTGGAAGATTCCTGAATAAGCAAGGCATTCTTTCCACAGTTATTGTCTTTTCCCAGTGAAGATTTAGTCAGCAATGCTCCGTCTCAACGTGTGCCCTGTACGTGTAGGGATTTCTGCCAGCAAGCCTTATCAGGGCTGAAACTGTGCCACCACACAGCTGCATCACACACCACACAGTAGCCACTCTGAGAAGTAAACAATGATGCTGAGATCTGTTCCCCCATCTCCTCGTGGCTCTCAGGCCAGTGCCAGCAACATGCATCGTGACATACAAGAATGCAGCTGCCATGGAAGACCTGCACTTTACTTTTCCACTGCTTTGGGCTGCCTCTGGCTCTGAGCTATCTTTAAACAGTACAGTGTAAAACTGCCAATGGATTCCTGCTCACCTAAAGACGAGATGTGGAGCTCCCATGGAGCGTTTATCAGCAGAAGATCTCAAGAGCTGCTTCTCAGACAGTAAGTGAACAAGGTAGTCATGGAAAACAAACAGGATAAATTGACTCCCTTGGATTCCAGAGCTGAGCACAAAGCTTTTGGATTTCAGACTCTCATGGAGCTCAATGAGAGAGATGGTAAGAGAAGACAGATCACACAGCAATCAAAAGAGCATCGTGCCCACAGAGAACACAACTGTGTTGATCGAGGCTTTAGAGGCTTCAGAAACACCTCTCCATCATTGCTGTCATTCACATCAGCAGTTACACAACTTACATGGTATTCTCCCAGCAAATCTGACAAAGGGGAATCGATTTACACCAGACAAGCAAAACAAAAGATTAAACATTTTCATGAAGCAGTGCTCCAAAATTACCAGTCCAGCAATGCCTGCAAGCGCATTATGAAGCCTCAAAGAGCAGAAGAGCAAACTTGGCTGCATATAAAGCTGTCCTACACCAGGCAGCCACCAGTGGTATAGTCAGCGTATTACCAATGAGTGCAATTAGAGGCTAGTATTTCCAGAAGCAGCAGGTGAATGTTTGGAATACAAACAAAAAACCCACTACCAACAACAAAAGAAGTAATCCTAAAAACATCTAAGGGAAAGATACAAGAGAAACAGATATTAAGACCCACCACAAAGGAGAATGTTGTCAGGGTATTACTCCAAACACTTGTTTAGATCAGAAATGGTGCTAGCTTTAGAAAAGACTATGGAAAGGATTTGAGACCACTGCCAATTAGTAAACCTCAGCTGGCTTGGGCCAATACCTGGGTACTGGTGCACTACACGGAGTTCTCCAGCGCAGACACACTGGTTACTTCAGAGCCTCCTCTAGACTCCAATGTATTACTGATGTCAGGGCACACTCCTCCAGCAATAATTCCTCTTCAGCTGCATTCTGCTCAGCAGCGTATCTTCAGCTGCTTCAGAGTGAGGAACACCGTGTTTCTCTCTGCTCCAGAGGATGGGCAATTGCCATATTATGGCATGAGAAAGATGACTGCTAAACACTTTATGCTGTGCAGAGATGAAAACCATAGCACTGCTCTGCACTGGAGCATTTGATGAAGACGACGCCTCCCAGAAGGATGGTGCTCATATCAATGTCCTGCTGCAAACACTTGTGTATTTGTTCTGCACACTGTTGATGGCAGTGGTACATTTCCTTTATAGGTATCTACATTTAATTGCCCTGTGATAAGGCCAATATGTCATTAAATTGGTAGAGTGCTCTATGACAACTCAAGCACAAAGATCTTACTGCTTAAAGTGGAAGAAAGTTGTTGCATGACAAACATCTAGTCAAAACAGGGTGAGAAAAACCCAAGCTCAGACAACTGCCTATTCCCCACTCACCCACTGATAGACATTGACTCATCATTTCCAAACGCTTGCAGTTGCCAAAATTCCATTTTAAGGCATTAAAAATAAAATACTATATTTAAAGGCTACTGTCCTAGCAAGCAAAAGCCTTCCTGAAAATGAATTGCTTATTCTAACTGATTTAGCTCATTAGCTTATAATAAGAGAAAAGGAGCACGGATAAGCATCTGCTTTCTCTATGAAGTTTATTCTGTGTTGTTGCTTTTTTTTCTGTTTGTCCATTGCCTCTTTCACTGCTTCTCCTGTGCACTGACAGAATCAACACTCTCTGCTCACTGCATAGTTCTTTTCCATAACAACACAGAAGATAAGAAGATGCTCTTTCCAGTGCAAAATTGAGACAGTAAAAAGCAGAGGGAGTATCTGATTTGGGGTCTCGATGATCATCTTTAAATGAAACAGTTTATTCAGAGATACTCAGTTCTCTCTGACTTCCTAAGGTGTAGTCAGGGCACACTTTGCTTTTTTTTTTTCCTTCAAATCCAGTAGATGTTTTCACCAATAAACGTACAGGATTAAAAACAAAGAAACCAACCAACAAAACAGACAAGACCCTCATAAGATGCCATTAGTCTAGTGTCATTACAAACACTCAGCATTGCTAGACAGGCAATAAAATCAAGGAATTCAGCAAGGCTAGCACTGGATGCTGGTAGTTTGTGGACAGTGATGCTGTCTCTACTTGAAAGAAGCAGCACGCACTAAAAGCCCTGTAAAACCAGTCAGACAATCAGGGAAAGCCCAAGAAATTAATCCAATTGACTTGACTGTGAAGGCTGGGAATTTCAGCCCCCAAAGCCTTTGGGTCACTGAAAGCTATGAAGAGGAAGAGGTGAGACAATTCTACATGGGATGTAAACAGGATATGTTTAAAAGGCAAGGTAGGATTTTTCAGGGCCAGTCAAGAATCCCTTGAATCATTCTGCAATAGTGCAGCAACTTTTAACTTTCTTGAGGTTTGGTTCAGTTGGAGACAGAAATGTCACTGTTTTTCTTAGAGCCAACACTGAGGACAACAAGGCATTTCCTGCCTTGTCACCAGGGCCAGAATTTGATCTGTTTCCTGAACACCAGCAAACTAGCACAAAATCTGCATATGTGGGTTTTCTCACAAGGCCACCAGTGTATCATGAACAACAGCAACCAATGTGGTACACTAGATTACAAAATTTAGGAAACCAGCTGCTACTGAGCATCCAACATCACACTACCTTCACCCTTATCCATCTGCTGTATAAGGTTCAACTACGAGTCCCTTTGCCATTTGCTTCTCTCTTCTACCAATATTCTGCAGGCAGCAGATGTATTTCTAAAGAAAGAAGCAAGATGACTTCTGAAGCACTGAAACATTGAAGACGATTGTGAAATGTTAGCCAAGGGGAAAAAAAAAACCTATCAGTGGTACGACAGTCACTGCTGAAATGCCTCAGTTTTCGTGGTATTCTTTGTATTTGCTTAGCTTCCCAACACCAGACTGAACATCAGCACAGGGGATTTGCTTTTATTAAGACAACTCTGGTGCAAGGTATTTCCTCTTCCTTCAGATTATTCCATTCCCTCATGGCTGTCTGCATCAGCCCTTGCCACTAGTTGACATGATAAGTAACAATTGGCTGTCTGTGCCAAGACCAGTGCATAAGGCTGCAGCGGGGCACTCACAGCTCCCACAGACAGCCCCAACACAGCAGAGCTGGCTTACAGCATCCGTCGTCACAGCAGACACAACAGCCAGCTCCTCAAGCTCCAGTGTCCTGTTTTCTGAAAATCCAGGGCAGAACCAGAAAATAACCAGAAAACAAGCCTCCAGTAGGGCACATCAAATGCCCTTCCTATAATACTGCCAGCTGACAAAGCCAAACAGAAAAAAAGTCAAAACAGAACCGCCAACCAGGTCCCCTCTAACCTGAAGAAAACAAACCTTGGCTTCCAAGCCAGCTATACAACCAGAGAACTCCTGCTTACCTGTGTACTCTTCGGCTGTCTCCCCTGGTTCAGGTGACTGTATGACATCTGTTGGCCCCGTAGCCATGATATAGTCACTGAAATGGAAATTAAAGTATTAGTTAAATTTTAGTCCACATTCCCTGCAGACTATGATCCCACCTCACTTAAAGAAAGAGTGTGGCTGGATCCTTTCTAAAGCTGCAAATGCTCATCACAAACAGGGCTCACACACTTATTTTGTTTCTTAGCCACAGAACCTTTTTTTCATTAGCACTTATTTCTCCAGTCAGAACTGATAGAGCAGCCTCACTTCGTGCCAGCACCTCTCTCTTTTTAAGAATCCAGGATCAAAGTTTGCATCTAAAGAATATGTGACCAGCAAGGTCCATCACTCTTCCCAGTGCCTGAATCGAGAATCTTTATGCATGCTGTTTGCTACAGGCTGACAGCTCCATGCACAGTTCCACGTACAAAGCATCTCAAGTAAGAGCTCTGCCGCCAGGGTTGGCGTATTACAGTGCCCTCACCGCAGGCAGCCTGTCAGCATTATTAAAATTAGTTAAGCATCAGCACTGAACCATCATCCTGGGCTATGCTACATTTGTGGAAACCAATAGATCAAATTTATTTTGGATCCAGTGCAATCAGCTTTTAGCCACAAGCTTTGAAACCTTATCGCAAGCTGGGCTATTGATCAACCACATTAGCTGATGGCATCATCTTCCTCTCTGATGAAAACAAAAGTTCAGCCTAGTTTTAAGATCATTCAATGTTAACTGGCTCCACTTTGTATTTTCCAAGGCTCCTAAAAGGGCGTCTGTCAGAAACAAAGGAACGAAGCAGCAGACCGCAAGAGTTACAGCACAAATGTCAAGCAACAATGGCAACGTGACAGTCCACAGGGCAGCTCATAAATACTGTCCTTTGTTGGGGAAGATCCCCGAGTGATACCCTTACACAGCAAGCAATTCCAACCTGCTGTGGCAGGACGTTAAGAGGGAGAAATCTTTACAAACAAATGAAAATACCCACAAACAAATCCTGCCCACTTTTCTGCCTGGTCGGACAGTTTTCCTCTTCAAAGCGGTACACTGCTGCCAACTGAAATTGCTTAGGTATCTGCTTGGCCAGTTAGGAAACTATTGGATTTTTTCTCAATCAGCCACACCTCCAATCTGCCATGCCGAAAAGCACTAGTGCTTCTCCCAGCCCATGGGCAGCCCAGCATCTCAGAAAACCTCAGATAAAACAAGGAGTGCAGAGGTGATGGGTGGTGATGGGCTGTGGCTTTCTTCTGCTTCAGTACATCTTCAGCAGTGGACACAGGAGTGCATTAATGCACTGTCGGTCCAAACAATCTCATCTCACCTTGCAAAAATACCATGAAAGTCACTGCAGGGACCAGGATTGGTTACACCTTTTCTAAATAAGATGCACTGAGGACAGTTTTGAAACAACTGTTAAACAGCATTCAGAAGCAACCATAAGTAACACTTCTAACATTTTTTTCTTTTGGATAATAACAATCACCCAGCTTTTCTCCGTTTTACCCTCAGGTCTCATCAACTATACTTGGAAATCCTGCATCTCCTGTGCATTTCAACTCAGTCATCTGCAGACTCTGTGTTAAGAAGAAATTCTGATCCATTTTTTCCCCTTGATTTACACACTATGCAGATAGACGTTCTGATTTTTCTTTAGGAAAAGGAAAATGCATTTGAAATAAAGCATCAAGGAAGCACTCAATGAATGTACAAGGACAAACTGGCAAGTCCCCACAGTTGAGCTTATTTTCACAGAATGTGAGTGGCACTGACATTTGGCTCATTTGCACCCTAACTTCAGATTTGCCCACCTTTAATACAATGAAAACGTTTGAGATCCAGGTTTGTTTTTGCTGGCTCTACATTTATTTAAATCAATCCATCATCTCAGCTGCTTCCATCAGTCCCTGAAGACACTTTGACTGCCACACTTACTACAAGTACAAGCATTTGTTTCCATTTGGTGCAGCTTTTATACCAGTAGAATTAAAATTGCAGGGCAGTTCAGCTCCGATGCAATCTCTTCACAGGCAAATCAGCTCCTGCACTAACTCAATTTTATAGCTGAGTTCTCTGGGGCATACGGAGGTCAAGTGTCAATTGCAAGGGCACACTGCCTGTCTGCAGAAGTGCCCTCACTTAGGACCCAATGGAGCCTTTGTAGACCTGATCACTGCATCATCATTCCAGTGAACCAAACAGTGACTTGAGGTGAGGGGAACATCACAGGTTTTTCCATGCAGTTAATTTAACAAGCACTTAGATGACGAGAAAAAATACAATATTTACAGAGGAAGTGTAAGTTCCATCATTAAAAGCTTGATGATGCAGCTGAAGAAAAGTTAGCATTTAGATGGTATTTAGATGTCAAATTCTGGTGGCTGTGTGTTTTATTTTACAAGAGAAAAGCCAGCAACATTTCTGGGCGACGAATCCTAGCCTAGGGATTAATGTAATGGAGAGAAAGAGGACAAAAACTCATCAATACCGATCCATGTGAGTGCACAGGCATTAACTGGTTGAACCCTCAGACATTGACCACTGCCAGCCCTTAATGACAGCTGCCAGACGCAGTGCTGCATGTGGCCAGGACGTATTGATACCGCACGTCCATTTCAATCAGCTGCACTAAACACATGCACCCTGCATGCTCCCCCAGAGCAGCACACCACGAGACAGAGTTTTAAACAAATACCATATGCTCACTGACTTTCAGCGAGAGAAGTATTGGGTGAAATGAATGGCCCCTTTGGAGGGAAAGCACTACCACAGACAGGAGAAGCAGCCTTGCCTCTCCTTCACCAACTGGGGCAACCGGCAGATACTTGGAATGCTCTACAGTGACCGGGCACAAGAAATGCAACCATTTCTCCAGTTCTCTGAACTTTCCCTTTTCTCAGCTAAGTACATCACCTGAATATGTGTATCAAATGGGGGGGGAAAATGCAAAAAGAAAAGACAACTCCCTTCCATTCCTTGGTTTGTGTACTTAAGTGGCTCCTGGGAAATCAGCCCTGTACAGCACCCAGGTTTCCTGCGCTTAGCAAAGACCCAAGGCAAAGAGGAGATCTCTGCTCCCCACAGAAGAACGCTGTGCAGCGAGATGGCTCAGCAAAGAGGGACACATGCACCCACACAGGCCTCCAGGCAGCAGCCATGGCCAGCATCCCCCAGCGCACGGCTCTCCCCTGAGCTCTGGGCCTCACAAAAGAGCAGGATGTAAGACAGGTATGCGTTCAGGTTATGCTCTTCAGTGAAAGGTGACCGGTTAAACTTTTACTCTTCTAATTAAAGCACATTAGAGGACTTTGTTCTGACAAAATGGGGTTGATTGCTTCTTCCCTGGGAACCCTCCAAGCCATCAAAGGACTCACTTAACCCACTGATAGTAAGCAGCAAAATTCTGTCTTCAGTTTCACCTCTGTAGCCCCAATAAAGGGGATTTCAGAATCAATCACAAAGCAGAATCAGAGCCCAGGAGATTTCTGTTCCGTGCGCACATCTCTTGAGCCTATCAAGACCAAGGTTTTGTTGGTCTCTGTACCCAGAGCCAGAACCTGGCCCACCAGGTACACACTGAGCAGCGTGGGACCCCGCAGACAGCTTTGTTAAAAGCAGGCACTGACCTCACACAGCTCATCCCACTGGATGCACTCTTCCAGAGCGCGGTGTTTCTAAGACAAATTGCCCATCTCTGACCCACACGATGGTTTTGCCAGGCCGCAGCTGGCATCACCACAGCTTGACTGTGGCTACTTTATGTAGGCATAAGAGAATGGCACAAATAGAAGCTTACTCAAGGACTCTTGCTGCTGCCTCCACTGATGATAGTGAGAGGTAGGAGTTTACAAAGTTAATGAATACTGCTTGCATAATTCTACGGAGAGAAGAAGAGCTTAACAAAGTTTAAGGCCCTTTTCAAAGGATCACAAGTAATACGATAATAGTAGTCTTTTGGAAGTCTAGATAAGTAGCTTATCAATAGAGCATCAATAAAAACACTTTCCCAAGGGTCATAATTCTTCATAGCGTCATAAAGCAGTCAGCTGCTCCCCTCAAAGAGATATCCAGAGCAAACAACGTTCACATTAAGAGATGCATTCATGGCTTTCACCCTGCGCTCAGCCAACACCCGCTCCCCGTGCCCCATCCTCACACCTCAGCTTTCCAGCGAAGGCTTGCTAGAAGACAGCTCCCAGTGGGCTGAACTCTCAGTACCTATAGTCTGCTTTGAGAAGCCTCTGTCTGACTGATTCTGAAGGATTTCTGCTATTCAGCAGTGCCTGAAGCAGTATGTGCTGCCCTCCCGGCGAGTGTGTGTGTAACACTAATGGAAAGCAGCTGGTGGGCTGAAGCCGACTTAAAAAAAAAAAAGAAAGAAAGTAGCAGGAGGAAATGCCTTTCATACAGTCACACGGGCTCAGCCTGTAATTGTGCGAGAAGCCAAAAGGATAAGAAGGGGGAAGGGCAAATGACAAAAACTATTTATAAGCTACGAGAGAAAACACAGCGGCAGTGCGCTGTCAGCAGCCTCAAAGCGAGGGGCTCAGTGCTCTGTCCCTGCCCCGCTCCCCAAGATGCCCCCACTCTCAGCACTAAACCACTGCAGCGTGGCCTCTGTGCACACAGGGACGTGGCTGCCCTGTACGGATGTGGACCCGTGTTAGCTTAAACCTGAGCAGGTACCAGCAGCTGAGCAGCTACCAATCTGCTCTTAGCTCAGAGGTCCCACTGATGGTCAAGCTACTGCAGCTTTGTGACAGCTGGCATCTGTACCAGCCATGTCAAGCTGCTGCCCTCATGCCCCTAATTACTCTGAAGAGCTCATTAGCAGGACACTGCGCTGCGGCTGTCGGTGCGGGGATCCCTACTGCATGCTTGCATCAGCACTGATATCCACCTGCTTACCAGGAGTTAAGCCAAGAGCTGCTTCTCTCACAGTGATTTATAGCACCATTTTTCCACTGCACTTTCTGGTCTGTACAAATCAGGAGAAACACAAGAGAAATTCGCTCCAGTCAAGGCCGGCACTCACCCAGCTACTCACTAAGCACACACAGGGCTCAGCCAATACTTTGGGCCCAGGTGGACTCTCCAGAAGAGGAACGTGCATTAATTGCCCCAGCTGAACTGCACCATTTAGCATCAGCGTAGCAGTAAGTCAGTGCCTTTCCCATGTAGTAATTCTTCACAGTACAGAACAGCTGGAACAAGGATCTTCCACTCTTCCTAACAAGAAGCAACAGAGGCAGCAGGCAGCCAGCAACGGCCAAAGGAATGCACATGCTGCAGGCAGGAGGAGCTCCCTCAGATCTGCTGCCATGGGTACAGCCAATGAGCTTGGGAAGGGGGGGACATGCACTGAACATAGAATCATACAATCAATTGAGTTGGAAGGGACCTTTAAAGGCCATCCAGTCCAACTCTCTGCACTGAACACGGACACTGACAGCTCCATCAGGCGCTCAGAGCCTGTCCAGTCTGACCTGCCGTGTCTCCTGGGATGGGGCACCACCACCTCTCCAGGCAACCTGTGCAGTGCCTCATTACCCTTACTGTGAAAAAACTTCCTTATATCCAATCTAAATCGCCACTCTTCTAGTTTGAAACCACTTCCCCTTGTCCTGTCAGCACAGACCCTGCACAACAGTCTGTCCCCTTCCTTCTTACAGCCCCTCTAGATACTGACAGGCCGCTCTCAGCTCTCCCCACAGCCCTTCTTTCTCCATGCTGCACAGCCCCAGCTCTCAGCCTGTCCTCACAGGGAGGTGTTCCATCTGTCAGATCATTTTTGTGGCCCTGCACCAGCAACGGTGCAACAAGAGGTAGCTATGGAGCTGCTCCAGTAAGAACCACTGCCTCTGGAAGTGTCCCCCAAACAGAGCAGCAGGAAGCCATATCGCTACCAACCCACTCCTGCAGCCTCTCAGTGCAGGAATCAGCTCCGTGGACAGGCCAGGCTAAGCACCTCTGCACTGCTGCATTCAAACCAAATCCACACGGAGGTGGGCATTTTTGGCCACTGCTTTCTAGGTTACCAAAACCCTTAGCATTTTGTAGGAGTGCTATGCTCCTGTCTTTGAATCCCTGCTTATTCTCACAAAATGTGAGGCATCATTACATCCTAGGCCTGGAAGATGCTGGGGACGTTTTTAACAAATTAAGTTGTCTGAGTGTTGCAGGAAAAAAGGGGCTGAAACAAAAACAGAAGGCCAGAACTGAAACACGGCACTTCAGGCTGTGTCTGAAGCTCTACTTTTTTTTCCAAAACAGTCCCTTATCCCTCACTTTGTGGGTTGAAAAACAGCTTAAGGATAGAAAAAAAACCATCAGATAGCTCACACTGTGCAGGACACACTGCTTTCAGGATGAGTCAATGAAGACATTTCATGCCCAGGAATTTAAAGCACATTTAAAGTTAAAGAACAACAACAAAAAAAGGAGCGACTAACAGAAATGTCCCGGAGTCACTGTGTCATAACACTCACTCTGTGGATCCAGTTACCCAAACCAGGCAGCCAGCTCTAGGCTACAAGAGAGAAAATCAAACCAGGCTCTGCGGACTCAGACTGGCTTTGGCAGGAAGCTCAGGAAATCGCTCCATGTGAAGTCCCAGACCCAGCAGGGCAACATCTATTGGCTGTGCACATGTGAAAGTAAAGAACGCCAGTTCCGCCTTGTGTTGAAACGCACTGTCTGGCTGAATCCCATGGCCTTCCACTGCTTCTGGAATTCAGACCCCATTTTGGCTGCTGACCTTAGTCAGAGCCAAAGGAAGGCCTGGCACAGCATCCACACCTGTGAGAGGAGAAATTCTGGAGCTCTGTGTGACTCTGAGGGTTTCCAGGGAAGCTCCCACTGCTCCTTCCAGCCCCAGCGGGGCACCCTGTGCAGCACAGGAGAGCTACCAGAGCCAAGGGAGGTCACCCATGAGCTTCATAGATTCATAGAACCACAGAATCATTCAGGTTGGAAAGACCACTAAGATCATCTAGTCCAACCATCAATCCATACGTGTGACTGCTCTAGGCCATGTCACTCCGTGCAGCATCCACTCCTTTGCTGAACACCCCCAGGGACAGTGACTCCACCACCTCTCTGGGCACCTTGTTCCAGTACCCACCACTCTGAGAAGAAGTTTTTCCTAATATCCAGCCTGAACCTATGCTGGCGTGACTTTGAACGTTCCCCAAGTCATTTCTGTCCCCAGGTTACTGAGTGCCTGTTCTCTTTAGAGCAGCCAATCCAAAGGGGACCTGCTCTGAGAGTGCATTCACACACACTCCACTAAAATCAGACCATCTGAGCCAATGCTGGTTCGCACCAATAGAGAAGCAAGTTGCATTTACCTTGAGGAAGACGGAGACATCAGGGAGTAGAGAGGGTATCCAAAATGGCTGAAATTCAGGAGGGTGACACCAAAGAGGGCAAGGACCTCAAGAGGGTACTGACAAGACGATATTTTGGCGAAAGATCAGATGGGGACAGGCATTCTGTAAGATCCTAACTGGCCAAGCGTGGCAAGAGAGGAAGCAATGAGACAATTTGCATTCTATGAAGGAAAACAATGAAATTTCAACTACTGCAATATTCTTTTCACTCAGCTGAGAGGAGGAAAAGTAATTTCCTAAAATGAATCAGCAAACTACTCCTCTACACCTCAGTCAGGCTGTATTTTCCCCAGGTGCAGGGACAGCTTGAGGATTAACATGATGTCTGCAGTATGGTGCTGAGCCAGAGCGCTCACATGCATCCCCCTCATGCCTCAACCTCTGCAGGGATCAGAGCTGTGCTGTTAGGTGAGAGATACTTACAAAGCCTGGCAAAAGCACACAGTTACGTATTTCTTAGAATGAATAAGCATAAATGAATTCACTGCAAATAAAAGTCAAACATTCAGTTCTCTAATTAGCACCAGATCCTTGAAACTGTGAGGCCAAAAGAAACAACCACAACAAAAAATTGGAGCTGGAACACCGCCTTAGCTCTGGCTGAATGGTCAGAAAGTAGAACCTTTGTCTGCACAGCAATGTTCCCCTGCTCCAGCTGAGTGTGCTGCTGTCCCTCCAGCCGTGACACGGCCACCAAGGTGCTGTGACACAGTGACAGGCCATGTCAGACCACCAGCACCCTGGTACTTTTGCACCCATATGAGTGCAGCAGCACGCACCCGTGCAGCACAGTTAAAGGATGAGTGAGGACATGTGGCCCAGGTCTCTGCTTCTTCGTGTACCTTGCAGTGGAAGCACTGCACTGCTAGCACAGCACTGACTGCTCACAGCATGATGAGCAGCGACAGCATCTGCACGCAAAATCAGACAGGATATGAACTGACTGGCTTTAATTTGTATAAACAGTGACACCCACAATGAAACCTTGGAGGGCCACCTGTTACCTCAGTACAAATAATTGTTATTACTGCTACTACAGCATACGAACGAATCAGAAAGCCTGCAGTTAAATGTTTCCTGTATTCAAAACGCTTCTTAAAACTCCCTGATGGGTAACAGTTGACACAACAACTTAACTCAGAAATACATGCTTCGATGACTTTAGAGTGGGGCTTCTGGAAAGAATCAAGGCATTTTGTGCTCAACTGTATTCTTACAGCAGCAACCTGTAAGAGGAGAAAAGCAATAACAACCTAACCTTGGAATTCCCTTGGATTTTCACCCATCTCCCCATCTGGGCATTGCCAGGTCTGGTTGGCAATCAGCTCTTGCTCTCCTATATAGCTCAGTAGGTTACCTGCTGGAAGCACAGCTTGAAGCTGGTACCTTTTTGTCTAAAGCCAGATTTCAGCTTCTAAGGCCAACTCCAGGCCTTTGCATCACAGCTATTAAATTTTCCAGACCTCTGTACAGGAAGGAAACAAAAAATTAATCTCTCTCTTTTACTGAAAGGGTACAAAGCCAGACATTCTTAGTGGCATAAGGAGACAATATGAGCTAAAAGTATGGCAAGATGTTTTTAGGGCTCAATCTGGCAAAATAAGGTAGACAAAAACTCCAGCCAAATGGTGCAGAAGAGTGAAAATCACGTTCAGCAGATTTTACCAAGCCAAGAAGCTCCTGCTTCAGTGGAATAGGAGCAGGACAGGCATTAGGGGTGCATGTTCAGCAGACACTTGGTATTGCAGTGATAGAGAGGGGGCTTCTGTGCTGAAACCAACCATAGGGGCACAGCTGCCTCAAATTCCTCAGCCTGCAGCCAGCAAATTCACCACATCATGTTGGCTGCTTAGCCACCATGGCATGCTTAGCCACCAGACACCATGCAGAGAGAAGTGTGAGCAGCAGGAGGAGGACTGGCAGAGTGGAGTGATTCACTGGCCGTAGTAAGACACA